CCGTAAACTTATTTTCCGGACCGTAGTAGAACTATGTTTTATATCATTCTTGTATCTGAATTGTCTTGTATCTGAAACATTCATTCTTTTATTTGGGTACAGGTAGGGAACATAAAATCCCGACAAAAATTATTAATGCAACAGAACGAATCGCCCATTACCATCAGTGTGGCCCACTGATTGGTAAAAATTGTATGTATGTATGCAAAATGTTTAGCTTGCATTTAATAATACGAGTTCGTAAAAAATATATATTAGGTTTTTCATTTCTAAAAACAGTATATTTTCTTAATTCATTCAATTATTCAATTAATTCGGGATAGGTACATTGCCGTAATAGATTTTACGGGGCTTTCTTGGAGAGCCCTACATATAAAAATATACCGGGTGGCCATTTTCTGAATCTTTGTATGGGAACTTATTTCATTTGTGTTTTGTGGTGTGGGTGATAATATAGTTCTTATTTCCATAGTCTACTACACATTTTTGATCTTCTTTTGAACTTTTACGGCAACCAAAGGAGAAAAACATACAAGCAGTTATATCGTTAAATTCAGAAAAAATTAAGGATTTTAAAAGGCCCACAGCCAACTATGATTACCATCTAAAAAAACATAAGTTTATTTTTGATTTCGTAAATAAGTTGACTATGACGAGTCCTAGTTTATTAAATTCAACGCAAAAAGTTCTAACAAAGACAATTTTAACTTTTTTTCTAAGTTAAGCAGTTTACGAATTATATGATAATTAAAAAAGTGTTGATTTCTTGTCTTTTCAGGATATTTCAGGAACCAWGTCGAGTACCTAAATTTTGAAAACGGTAATGAATAGATATTCGAWTTCTGCCCAATTTTGGCCATTTAACGGATTCTCTATCTTTAAAAATGTAGAAGTTACCCATACAAAGATTCAGAAAARGGCCMCCCYGTATATTGGGAATGACCAGCGACGACATCCCTTTGGGACAGGTTTTATAGTCAGGGAGCCCAAAGCAAAAACAATCAAKTTKKTTTTTTTTTTTCGGTGAGGTTTGGGAAATGCTCTTTTATGCACTCCCAGAGCKGGTGGTCTGTCCTTCTGGTTTGTGTGGGACTCCAACTAAGCTGTTTACCCACTAAAACCCTTTCCTCGCCGCCGAGGTGGTGTTTGGCCTTGCACCGCGGTCATTTCTGTCCTATCGTGCCCTCGTACTTTTACTCCCTCATTATCCCTGTATATTCAATGAATTCCAGAAGAGTCTTGAGGGGAGTTCGCATGATCTG